CCCCCCCCACAATCCCCACGCGACCAGGGGGGTGGGGGGGTAGTTGGGGGTGTGATTCCCCCCAATCTAAAAGGTGGCCAAGTTTGAAAAACACTGCTGTAAACCAAGGCTCATCACCTTGACTTGTCCCCAATAATAACTTGTAGCTCTTCCACTTCCAAAGGTATTCCAGTACTGTTCATCCACCTCATCCATGGTCTCTCCCTACTCTGCTTTTATTTCCCACAATCCTGCCAGGCATCCTAATTGTTTCTAATCCATTGTCAGCTTGTACCACATGCCCAAATGATATTCATTTCTGGTTGCTTATCTCCTCAAGGTGACAATCAGCCTTTATTGGATCTAAGGCTTGGATTGATTCTTCTTGCCATCCATGGTACTCCCAGAAACTGTCTCCAGATCATCATTCGGTCCCTCTTTCTCCATGTCTAACTATTACAACTGTTGTATTACTGTTAGAAATTCGTTCCTTCATCCATGCCTTTGTTCCTGAAATACCCTTATCTTTCACGATCTTGTCTAAGTTTGTCACTGTGTTCCTCCCTTGGATTAATGTTCTTTTTACTTCTCTAGCATATTGTTCATCTTTTTCGTTAGCCAAAGAAAGCAAAATTTGCCACCTTCAACTGTTAATTCACTAAGTACACTGGCTGACATTACTTTAATTAATCTTCCTATTATTTTACTTTAATTCAGATGTTTTGATTTTCAGAATGAGTTCTTCTTCTTTATGGTTGGCTCACAAAGAGATGTCCCCCGCATTTCTCCAATGGTTGGTGTTTCCACCTCTCCTTCCGATTCCATTGGCCATCTCTTCCAATCCTGCCATTCTTACATGCAAATTTTCATCTGGCTAGAGCCAACGTGGCTTGTTCATGCTGCTCCTTAGGCCCTGGAGCTCTGAAGTCAGTTCTCTTCTTCCCATCAGCACTCAGAGCCAATTGTTGGCAAAGAAACGCTTGGCCTGGTTGCGTCTTGTTACTGGCCCCAACTAGCTGACCTGCCTGTTACCAGGAGTCTAGGCAGCCATTCATATGCACACAAAAGGCACCTCACACAGATTTCCATACCTCCCAGCACCTAAATTAAAGACTCCTTAACCCATGGATCAGCCTGCAGCACTCCCTTACCAATGTTTATTTGTTAGATTTATATCACACCTTTTCTCCAGGAACTCAAAGTGCCTTACATGGGGGAATATCCCTTTATTTTGTCCCAGAACCCTGTGAGGTAGGCTGGGTTGAGAATGAATGACTGGCCCAAAGTCACCCCCTGGGTCCTTCTCCCATGCCTTCACCACCACGCCACGCTGGCTCTCCATCACTGCACCCAACGGGCTCGATGCCTTGGCTAATATCCCTTTGCCTGGGCCACCAAAGGCTGGGTGGAGAAGTGTGTTTTGGAGCTCAAACACTCAGATCCTGTACTCAGCATGGCATCATTCTTTGATAACAGTGGCGCCTAGATCCAGACCGAGAACTGGACTGAACAGTTGCACTCATATTCCTCAAGGCCATGTGCTCAACACCAGGATTCAATTGTGAGCCATCAACATATTCCTAAATATTTAACCGAAATTCTCCCAGCTGCAGCTGTCAGCCTCCCACCATCCCCAGCAGCCAGCAACTCTGTTTTCTCTGTGCAAACATCCTTTGCAATAAGTTCTTGGTTCCAAATTAGGCATCCATTCCAGAGCCTCCCCCCAAGATGTCAACAGCTCTTTCAAGAGTGAGGTTTATTATGTTTAATGACATTTGTGTTAGAGTTCCACACAGAACACATGAATGAGGTTACTGCTCACTGCGGATCCTTTTGCTCCTTTCTTCTAAATTAACAACTTGCAAGTTTGCTGTTGGGGTTTGCAACTATTTAATTTGGCTAAACGGAAACACATTCCCTCTGCTCAAAGGCAAGCAGGAGGTAGCTCAGCATGCTGTGAACTTCTAAGTGTTACCACAGACTCCAATAGAGTCTCCAAGAAAGCAACTTTTCCGCAAGTCTTGTTGATTCTCAGCACAGATCATCAGCCACTGCTAACATATGCCCCCTCCTGCACAGAGGAGTTGTCCCTTTTGGAACACGCGGGCTCTGCAATGCATTTGATTCTGCAGAAGCTGATCATATTTATGAGGTATGCTTTTATGAGGTACGCAGAAGCCACAGCCGCGCACTCCAAAATAACCTTCCATTCTTGGCTCTGGAGAGGGAAGAGGACTCTGAATTCTTTGCAAGGCCTGGAGATGCCCTCATTTTATGCCACTGACCCTGGGAGACACCTGAACTGGGTAACCCAGTTCTGCATTTCTGCAATCCTCTCCTTTCCCTTTAATGCTGGGAGATATTTGACAGATGTAAATATAAGCTTCAGCGTTCTCATATTTCTGTGTGTTTGGGATAATGTTTTAGGCCAGCTTTACCAACTTGCAATTTGTAGTGACTGCTTTTTTATTTTTTATTTTCTGCAGATGAGCTTGGAAAACAGAAGTCAAGGAAACAAATCATGTAATTAGGTGAGAAAGGAAGCCATACATACATGGAGATGAGGCCGAGAAGTTTGCATGTTAATTAAAGCTGAGTTGGTCATGCCATCTGCAGGCTACAAATTAAAATGTTTGATTAGTGAGGGGTTAGACAAACACAAGTCCAAAATATAATAGCAAAAGCAAAGGTTTTCATACTAAGACACGTGTAATCTCATTTATTCTAGCAGCATGAAGGAAACCTCCCAGACATATCAACAGGCAGAAGTTCATATAAGTGATGCACCAACTGCATGAGGCCAAATGCCAAGGAGAATGTAATACTGGTATCTAACAAGGATGGTAGAAGATCTTCCTTTAACATTGAAGGGTGACACCTCTGTCCTTTTATCCTACCCCTTTTACTGCTGCTTTGATGGGTTGGGACATCTTATGCTTTATAGCAGCCTTCCTTAACTGGATGCCTACCACATGTCTTGGTCTACGGTCTCTAAATCCATGGATGAAGCACGGCCATCTGGCTGATGAAGATAGGAATTATTGTCCATCATGTCTGGAAGGCACAAGGGTTTTAATTTGTCCTTCTGCTCAACCTGGGGGTCCTCTGTGGATGGTTAAAGCAACTAATGGGAATATTGGGAATATCTTCCCACCCTCCAACCTATTCCCCCTCTAGTGCTGACGTGGCCCAAGGGGAGAAAGAAATTTTGAATGTATGAGTCAACACCACTCACTTGTGTGCCCCTTTCAAGGTTCAAATTACACATCCACTCACACCATTATCTGTGAACAGGGTGGGCAGATGGATGAAGACATCTGGCTCTCGCTGTCACTCCGCAATGTCACACAGATCAGCAATCCATAAAAAGTTTCAGTAAGCAGGATTTCATGTGACAGAGATTTGGATTGGATAGTAAAGGTTTTCTGAACATAATAGATTCACACCAAGACAAAAAGAGCTAATGGGCCTTCCAAAGTGATTCAGATGAATAGTAAGCTGAGTTCAAACCCTATCTCGGATGCTTGGGGGTGGGTGTCTTAGGGGACATGTCTTTACTCCTTAAGTCCTTCATCTGTAAAAATATGGAGTACTTGCACCTTATTTCACAAAACCTTTGCAAGTGAAGATAGGATGGGGAAAGCAATCCACTAGGAAGTTCTCCAGACCTTCATGACACAAACAGATCTGTTCAGTGTGTAGTGGATACCATGCTGGGTTTTGATAGGAATTGTGGAAGGTCAAATGTTGCCTCCTTTGTGCTGAACTTTATCTGGATGGGGAACATTCATAAGGTGCGTATTCTAATCAGGAAGTTACAATGGTGTCTGTTCTGCCTGCGGCTTAGAACTCTTGGCCACGTCCTTCGCCTCCTGCCCCTGCCGTGCTGCCAATCCCTCCTGCTTTGCCATCTCCACTGCAAAATCTTGCCGTCTGGTATCTCTCGCAATAAAAGACAAACAAGCATGCTGTACGACACTCGTCCCAGTAGGAAACAAGCTGAGAACGTGGTTCGGCCACATCAGAGCATTCGAGGTCAAAGACAAAGAGGTGAACACCTCACAGGACTCGCAAAAGCATATAAATGCCGGAGGGCACTTTAAGAAAAACCAAATGCCCAGATTTTCTGAGATGGCTAGAACAGAACATTTATGTCCTGGCATTTGCAGCAACCTGGCTAGTTTGTGTGTGTTTGTGTGCATGCACGCATGCCAATTTACCCCTTAATTTTTGTACTTTTCTGAAATCTTAATCTGAAAAATCTCACGAGTTTTGACTTCTTAAAATATCGTGTTGCGTCCCAAACCTCCAGTCTGTGCTCTCTCGCCCTTCACCACATTCCCATCTTCTCTCGGTCTCCTGCCAGGGACTGTCGGGGAAGGATCTGCATGGATCTTGTGGTGCTAGTGGTGACAGGGTAAAGCAAACGGAGCCATCTTTGCCCCCGACGCCACACCACATCTAAGTGGGACTAATCTTTTGCAACTGAAACAGCAGTGCAACTCCAGGCTCTTCTGTAGCACCCAGATGCGGGTTCCAAGGCAGCTTAATTAGGAGCAGGCTTAAGAACAGCCAGTCTGAAGTTTGACTCACAGTGGCAACAACAGCAGCGACAGCTGCTCGGGCATCCAGTAGGTGCCAGAGGATCAAATACATTTCCAGCCTGTTGCAAAATCTCAGTTTTGTGCCAAAGGTGGGAGACTCAGGTGCAGTTGCACATGGCCGTAGACCGCAGCAGCTACAGAGAAGGGCCCATCAGCCGGGGTTCAAAATGTACGAATGGCAGGAAAAAACATCTTAGCTCCACTGAGTGTCACTGAGAGGCAACTGAGCCCCTGAGCAAGCAGAGGCTGGGAGTCCTGGGTAGGTCCGCAAGCAAGCTCCAACCTGCCAGCACAAGGGACAAAGCATTGTAGTCCCAGCAAAGAGGCCTCAGAGTAAACTGTTGCAAAGATGGGCAGCCAATTCCTGTACCAGAAGATGCCAAAAATGGAGAGAAGATACAACATTCTAGGGCAGACTGACAAACTGAACATTTGCAAAAGACTGGATGATTGGGTTTTGGAGTTCTCTAAACTTGGTTGTTTTCCTGCAGGCTGTGATGGTGTTATCTAACTTGGTAATGAGGTGTCTGCAGAAAACAACCAAGCCCAGAGAACACCAAGAACCCAGCCCTTCAACCTTGAGCTACACCTATTTTCTAATACTGGAGTCCGGGTGATGCCCATCCATGAGTTCTAAAGAACGCAAACGCGACATGACTCTTCTTCTAACTCATATATGTGTCTCGTCCATCTGAGTGGCAGCAGATTCTGTGGGAAAGGAAACCAGTCTTTGAAAAGCAATCCAGGGGAAATCTAGAACATTGCAGGCCAGAGTGATGCCTGTTCTGGATAAACTGGTGGAAAGGGAGAGGTCAGGATTAGTGTGCTGGTAACAGATAAGGAAGCGAAACAGAAGGCAGAAATAATTTGATTGTTCTTATAGTCGGGGGGATGTAAGAAACAGGCTGCCCAGATTTATATGGCTTTTGAATTTGTTCAGAAATGATCTGGATGAAGGTTGAGGACTGGGGTGGCCAGATTTGCTAATAACACCACATCTGGTGAGCAATGGAGGATTCCAGAAGGACCAACCCGAACTAGATGAGCAAGCAATAGAACAGCATACGAAATTCAAGGTCAGCAGGTTGCTGATGCTCCTTGAGACAGTCTCCCTTGAAGTTCAGGTGACTTCTGAGCAGAAAATGAATGCTAAAATCCTGCTCAACGGTGTCACTGAGCTTGGATCGCAAAGACCAGGCATCAACCCTCCTCTACCAGCACATTCCAAGGCTGCATTGGCCAGGAAGACAAGATAGCAGTCACACACCAACTGTAGCCTCAAGAAGCAGCGGGGAGAGTCAGGAGAGGTGGGGTCAGCAGGGTCTCCTCACGGTTGATGACAGTTCTGGTTTGGATGGACAGCTCAGTGAAGATACTAGATTCCATGCTAAGAAGTATTAGAATATGCTTCAGGTCCTGTCACTTAATTCCACACATCTTAAAGTTCTCAAAGTTGAGAAACCCTGCTCTAGATACACAGAAGAAACATTAGAGTAACCAAGAAGTTGGTAAACCTTTGAAGGGTGGGCTTTAGGCCAAGCAAATAGCGCCTGTTGTCAAAACATATAGTAGTGATGGCTATGACTGATAAGAGACAACACAGCGTTACTGGAATGAAGAAATGACTATCTCTGTTTGTTAAAAAAGCCTTTCCCCACAAATCTCTATCCCTTTTGGACAAGAAAAGGATGAGAAAAAATCTCAGAAATATTCTATATCTCTGACATAGCCAAAGATGGGACAGGTCTCTTTTCTTATACAAAAATATTTGGCAAGTATCTGGGTCTGAAAGCACTCCACCAGCTGCTGGGGCTGAGATCGCTGACACGTTCCTTTCCTGCCAGAAGAACAAGGAAGGGAGAAATCTCTGGCCAAGCATCTCCTTGGTCAAGGTGAGCCACTGTCTGATTCTGAGGAATGGAAGGAGCTGGCTCCTAAGCCACCCACAAAGTACTTGAAAGAGTGCTGAGCCGTTGCAAGAAAGAGAGGAAGGCCATCTTTTCTTACACGCTGCGCATGATTGCGAAAGGCGGCAGACAGTACCTGGAAGAAACCCAGAGCTGTTCCAGAAGGGCCCAAAGGGACTTCTTTTCAGCCACAGAAACATAGAATCATCACTTCTTTATGGTCCACCACTTAAAGCAGGTTCTTCAGCTTGGCTGCCTCTCTGGCTAATATGTGATCTGAATGTGCTGGCTGGGAATTTGGGGAGTTGTAATTGCAACACTTCTGCAGGCTAGGGAAGGCTGAACTGAGGTCATGGGGAACGGAGGATGCAGAATGAAGGATGATCAACCTGGGACATCTTGTAACAGAAGCTCTCAGGATCTCCGTGTGGAACCACTAGTTTGACCAAGATCAGGTTTAAAATGGCCTGCTGCCAAGACAAACACCTGACAGGATTATCCAATTACAGTATCCAACTCATTCAATTATCCAATTATTATAATTATCAATTATTACATTGACTGAATGATCCCACCTAAAGAATGTTAACTAAGGGCTCCACTTCACCTTGGGGGGAAGTATCAAGCGGACAGGAACATTTTTGTCAGTGAAGGGAGTTCAGCAGACGCGTATTAAGTTTGCATACGACACAGAACTGGAAGGGGTGGCTAATACTCTGAAGGAGAAACAGAAGATTCAGAGAAAGGCTTGAGCAGTGGGCTGAAATGAAAAGAATGGAATTTAACAGGGAGAAATGTAAACATTCTGCATCTCGGTAGGAAAACGAAAGGCAAAAATGCAGGATGGGGAAGACCGCAAAGAAACTAGTGCAAACTGAAAGGAAGTAAGAATCGAGTAGATGTCAGGAGAAACTTCCAGACTACACAAGCTTCAGCCAGTGAAACAGGCTGCCACATGAAGGGCAAGTCCTCCTTCACTGAAGGCTTTCAAAGAGAGGTTGGATGCTCATCTATCAGAGATGTTCCAGTGGATTGTGCCCTGAGCAGGGGTTGGAGTAGATGACATTTATGGTCCCTTCCAACCCTGTGATTCTTATAGAGAAGAAGCAACACTAACTGCATTCTGCCAGGTGGCTGGAAACACCTCACGTTTTTCATTAAATGTAGGCCTCCAGGACTCTGATTTCTGTTTTTTATTGAAGGGGTCATTTCTATGGGGTTATTTATGGACCACCCTGCCCAGATGTGTACCCCAGACCACACTCCCCATTGACTTTAGCACCTATCAATTTTGCACATGCTCACATCATCAGCAGATGCTCACCAAGATGCAGTCACAAGCAGCCTCACATGAGCTGTCCTCACAGGAAGATGCACAGCAAACCCACTTTCGCCTTGAAAGGTTGCTTCTTGCTGGTGCTTTCAGTCGAGCAATAGAACTTGGGTGCTCAAGGTTAGCTATATTCTTCACTGAAGAATTCAGAGAAGTAACTCTATGTTACTTTTTCCTAGCCCCTGAGCCTGCTTACCTGGACTGAGATGAGAGGTTCTTTGTCATCAATGTCAATCAGAACATCATCTTTTGGTGTGAGGCTCACATCATCTATAAAAGAAGAGGGGGAAGAAACTCTAGCTTCAACCTGCAGTTCTCAGAATTGCACTGTTCTTGCTGAACTTTCCATTGATGTGTCTTTCAAACCAGTCCTGCTACTCAGCAGCTGCTTAAGCAGTCTTCCAAAGAAGTCTTATTTCAGACCAAGAAGATGGAACTGGGTCTTTGGCCACTGTGATTTAGACACAATCTCTGGGAAGGTTCAAGATACATCAGCTACTAAACAGGGAACATGTGAGCTGCTGCAGCCTTCCCCAATCCATCTGTGTTCTGAATCCCGGGAGTTGTATTCAAAAACCTCTGGAGGGTACCAGGTTGGAGAAGAAGGATGGAGACCATAAAACCAACCTAAAACCAATAAGCCCACAGGTTCAAGTAGAATGTAGGTCAGACCTTCTGATGATACTCAAGAGCAGCAAGGCTTCCTTTGCTAATATCACGTATCATTTATTTGTTCCAGCAAAGCCACCCATTTTTATAACCAAGAACACCCAGTGATGTTCCACCCTTCCTGACCTGTGTGGGTTTCCGGAAATACTGTATCTTCTTTGTAGGGGTCACAGAAGAACTCTTGCAGTGATCGGATGGTACACTGGCCCACCACAGGCTTGCGGCCAAAAGGCCTGTTGTCAATGACTTTGATAATGATGGGAGGACTGTACAGGTCTTCCCTTGGCATACGCTGAAACAAGAACAAGCCTGGTTGGCACAACAGGGCAGAGAAAGAAGAGGTGACTATCTTTTACTCAAATAACAGGGGAAGAGGAAATAGGATTTTCTGGACAAATGTCACGAGAGAGAGAGTGATTCTCATAAGAGACAAGAGAATGCAAAATGAGGCTGCCTCACCACTTCCATGAAGAGCACAGAGATGTCAAAGTTGGGATTCTTCTTGAGGTTCTTGATAACAGTTGATTGGACCATCTGCCCAACACACTCCACCAGAAGACTGGGAGAAGTTACACTGGCCATCTGATAGCTCTTCAAGTTTCGAAGACCCCAAGCCAGTATCTGCAGCAGAAAGCAACAGAAAGGGCACCAGCTACTAAGAATCTAAAATAGCCATAGAGAAACCAGTGCAATCTTGATGTGGACAAATCAGCTAGGGCTTGCTTTGCAGTTTGTGTTGGGTGTGGGTTGTGGTGGTGGCAGCGGAGGAGGAGTTTCTCTCTGCGTGTCTTGTGCATTTTCCATTAATGCTGAATACACATGCCATCTTGTATCAGTTGAACAGGCTGACTCTTAGCAATGCCTCATTATGGGCAGGGATTGTGCCCACAGCCATGAAAAAGGGCTCTGGTACACCCTCTCTTTAAAGCCCCTCCCTGGATCCAGTTGTCCTGGACAGCTATCACCCAGTCTCTATCTCCCCTTTTTAGAGAAGGCTGTTGAGGCCACAGTTGGCCAGCAACTACAAAGCACCTTCAGGAAATGGATTATCTGGACCCTTCTCAGCCAAGGTTCAGCCATGGACTGGAGATGGAGATGGCTTTGGTCCCTCTTTAGTGGGAGTTTCAGTCAAATGCAGAGGAGAGAGAATGGACTGAATATTGCTCCCTTGTGGGGAAATGCAGGGTTCTCTCCCTATTGTCAAATAATTACTATTGAAGCCACTAGTAGAGAGCATCTGCTGGTTTGCAGTATGATGCCTGGAGGCTGCTGGGGTCTGGAGGGGATGAAACAGACTGACACTGAAGCCCAGCATGTCAGAATTACTGTCAGTACATTAAAGTAATCTGACAGTTTCAGAGGAACCTCTTAGTTGGGATGGATTGTCCTGAGGAAACAGAGGAATAACTTGGGTGACCTCTAGGACTCATGGCTATTACTCATAGTGAGACCATTGCTAGTGGACATTTGTCTGGCTTCAGCTTTTGCACTAGTTGTGGCCCACCTGAAGTGGAAAGACTTCAGAACAGTGACTCATCGCAGCCTCTTAGCTACGAAGGCGGACTACCACAATGTGTTCTACATACCTTCAAAGACTATTCAGAAGCATCAGTTAATCTGGAATGCAGCAGTCTGCTTGTTGGCTGGTTTGCATCACCCTGAACTGCTTTGAGCCCAGCACTCCTTTCTATTCACTTCTGGGTGCTACTCAAAGTGCTGCTTTTCACCTCTAAAGCTCCACCTGTCTTGGCTCTGAGTTGCCTGCAGAACTGCCTTCTCCACCCAGAATCAACCTGCCTGGTTTGTGTGTCCTGGGAGAAAATGCTTGTGGTTCCTTGTTACTATGCGTTTATGGGGAATGGAGGAGCTGAGGTTCACAGATGCTGGTTTTCAGTGGCTACACCGATATTATGGAAGAACTTTCAGGTTTGTCCCAACATTATTGGCCTTCTGGAAGCTGTTAAAAACCAAGAGAGCCAACTCATGGTTGAAATCAGAGGTGTCAGCAGGGGAGTCAGGATAAAGGTGGTGGCCACAACCAAGCAATTCAAGCCTTCCCCCCCTGTTTTTTTTATCATGAATTGCCCATTTTAAAAAATGTGATTGGGATGACACCACTGAATGAATGATTGGTGGCTTTTATTGGGTTATCGTGTTTGATGGTGTTATTTTAGTCCTACCGTAAGCATTTTATTGTACATTATTGTATGTATTTTGTGATCCATCAAGAGTCTGATCACAGTGGGCACAAATTGACTAGACAAAATAAATAATTAATTTGCAAAATGGCACCCTCCCACATCCTTACAACCTTTACAGAAATTAGCAATTCTCTTCCCCAAATATTTTGAGAGATCCTTTAATCAAAAGGTCCTGCACTCACTGAGTCTTCTGTACTCACCTCAATGGCTGTACGCTGAAGAACAGGTTTGATTCCTTGAGGGACCATGTAGATGTTGGGCTCTCTCTGTGGTGGAGGGTAAGGCAGGTCTGAATCAGCGGACTACGAAAAGACATAAATCAGGTCAATACAGAACATCTCTTTTATGCAGTAAGAGAAGGACAAGTCCATCCTGCTGGTTCTTCACTCCTGTGACTTCACTCACAGGGGTGAGAAATGACATGACATGACATGACATGACATGACATGACATGACATAGTAAAGTATATTTAGAGTTTGTTGAACAAAAAGGCCTGTTCTTCAGAACCAGGCCTGGAGACAAGACACTGGTGGTCTCCAGATCTGAAGCAGATGGCTGTTGGGTTTTGTAATTACGATGACCTAAAGCCCTTATTCCTCGCACATCGCAATATCCCCCGTGTTAATAGTGAAGTATCTGCTTCCGTGAATCCATTTCTTGCTCTTTGAACCCATGGGTTCATTTAGAAACAAAGAACTGCCTACTGCTTGCACTCCCCCACCCCAGAGCTCACTCCCTGAGGAAGGAGAAGACGCTTCCAACCAGTGGGGTAGTGATAAATGTAAAACAACTGCCTCTGCTGCCTCCATGGCCGCCAGTGTGTCGTGCCACTTGCTGCCAAACAGCTGATTGGTGTGCTAAGGGTTGCGGCTCAGCTCCGCTCTCCGCCGGCTCCCAAAATTCCTGAACATTTAACCATCAGCTCTTGCGAGAGTATGAGCCGGCTGCAACACAGCACCACTTCCAACCCAGCCAGCCCTTCTGCCTTTACCCACATGTTCCTGGTAAGCAAAATTCCCAGGCTTTCCCGCAAACTTGATCTCGGGGGTTTAGTCTCTAAAGGAAAGGAAAGCCCTTAGGCAGGAAAACCAAGGGGACCTCTTAACCAAGGGCAGTTGGAAGTAATTTCAGTTGCAGTCACTTTTTCCAGCCGAAAGAATTATTGCATTAAATTAGGCAGGCGTATATATTTCAAACATCAGATCAGGTCGTATTTATTTATAGATCCCATATATGTATATTTAATAAGGCTGCAGAGAGGCGTGCACGGTGGTAGCAGGCCAACGCTGCTCAGGGCGGCCTTGTAATTTTCCCTGGCGGTTGCCAGGAGCTGCCTAAACAAAACAGCTTGTTGTGCACAATGGCCGCGCCAGCTCCGCTTTGGCGTAATTGGAACCCTGACCCCTCTCCAGAAGCTCAGCCCCCGGCATCACTTTGAAGATTTAAGGGTGACCCGCCGAATGGGGCACCGCCACCCTGACGGTCTTCAGCCGGTCTGTAGCGCACCCCAAGCCAGGAAGAGCCCTTGCAGGGAAGCTGTTAGAACCCCGCACCCCGGCCCCTGTGCCAGTGGGCTGCACTATGCCACCTGGGAATTCTGGGAGCTGGAGTCCGAGATGCTTAGAGGGCAGCGGGTCCACCCCTTCCCCCTCTTCGGAGGAAGCACCATGGAGTGGGAAATCACCCAGCCAAGATGAGGAGGTGACTGATCACCCTACTCAACAGACACCTTATCATAAAGCGAAACGTCTTCTCCTGGCACTCGCGTGTAGGCAGCCAGAAGAAGCTGTCCGCAGAGCAAGGGCAAAAAAGTGAAGCTGGTGGCCCCAACGGTGCAACCGAAGCTCCGCCGGTGCCCTTGGCCTTCCACAACGCACATAAAACACACATCGCAACTCACAAAGAAAGCAGGTAGAGCTTCCTTTTGGGGCCATGCCCTGCAGACACCCTGTGTATTAGCATCACACGGGTCACAACACTATCATGCCCAACAGCAAATTGCCTATTTGTCTCATTTGCACAATGACGCCTGGCACGTACAATGTCCCTTGGCCTTCTTGCCAACATCCACACCCCTGTCGGCACCCCTGGGCCTACAAATACCCCCTCGCCCCACTGGGCCTTCTGCCCCCCAATTGGCTTTAATTTCTTTTAAAAATATTCATTTATCTCAAAAAATTGGAAGCAGGCACACCAAAAGGTGAAGCACCAGCCTCAAATACCCACTCAACGTGCAAGAGGCCTCGGGGCCCCCCATAGGCACAAAGGTGCCAGTCCCTGCAGCCAGGGCTTGCTTGGGCAGCTGACCCCTGCCCAGGACAAGCCGGGACCAAGCTCACTGCTTAATCTCTGAGTACCTGAATATTCGGCAAATGCTGCCCCCGCACCAAGGGAGCCATTTTTAAAACAGGGACCCAACCCGCCCAACCTCACAGCAGCTCTCGCTTCACCTGGTTCTGAGTCAACCCATTTCCTCACTTCTCACAATACGCCAAGGTGCAAAGCCACTCAGAGGTGAGGTGAGACGCGATAGATAAGACAAGAGCGGAAACTAACCAGCCTTAGCGCATTGCACAAATGCAGCTCAAGTCTTAAACTGAGCTGGCTGAGTGCCCTGGGTGAGTTCTCTAACATTCCCTCCCCAAATTCCAAATATGCCCACTGGCGCCTGAACAACTGGGGTGGCCGGAGGGGCGGGGAGGTGTCAAAAAGTCACCACACGTGCAACAAGGAACGGAGCTCCACCTACACAATTGCAGCCACCACCTAGAGTTTCTTCACCTCTCTGCAGATGCCCCCATAAGCGAGCGTTTCACTGATGTACACCCCACTGTTCTATGCAACGCAAAGTGGGCCCCCTCGCACCCAGAGCCTTGATCGTGTTAAGTAGGCACTTGAGTTTCAGGCACAGGGTAGTTCTCCGACAGACCCGTTTCACTTCCTTCCACACCTCTCGCTCACCCCCGCCCACCATCTCCACTCCAGCTGCCCATTTGGCTTGAAGGTCAGGTTCAGCAATCATGCTAGAGGCCACACGAGAGCTGGGCCGCAGCTGGCTCAGCATCTGTGGGAGCCAGCCATGGTCCCAATAGGTACAGGAAGACAGCTACCAGATCAACCCAAATAGGCGTCTTCATTTGGAAATAATGAGTTCCGTGAACATATTTCATTAACCCAAGTTTAGGGTTAGGCCCAGGCAGAGGGCGGCCTTGAGATGAAGCACCTTCCGGAGAGCAGACCTGAGTGGTGGCAATGGGGCACGAACCCGCTCTTGAGAGACAAAAAGCCAGCTCGGTAACGGCTTAATGGACAATTGTGGATTTGCCCCTGGTTAGTTACTTAGACGATTCCAGACTAGTAGTTGATCAGCACGAATAACAAACAGTTCATCAGTAATATTAATGAGCAGTTAATGAGCCATGCTGGGGATCAAGACTCAGACTTGGTTTCGGACAGGAAGGAAGCTGGGAAGTGGCCAGACCTGAAGTCTGGAGCAAGCAAGCAAGCAAGGACGTTCCCGGTGAGCTGGCTGCAGCGCCCACCGCCACCCGCTGCGGCCCGGGGCTCACTCCTCCAGGGACCAGCTACTGCAGCTATGGATCAGTGCTGCCAACGGGGCACGGGGGTGACACCCGCCAGCTGGTGTGGGTTGTGAGCAGAGGGGGCGGGGACAGGCCTGCTTGGAAAGCACGCTGGGAGGGTGTCAGCAACGTTCAAGCAGCGAAGCAGACAGGGCACACCTAAAGCTACAGGTGGCTGCTGGTATCGGGGGTCCCTGCAGGGAGGTCAAAATAGTCAACCCCGAGGTTGTGGCCATGAGCTGATTTTTTTTTTTAACCTCCCTGCAGACGTCCCTCATCAGCATCCTTTCTGCAGCCTCCAGAGCAGGCTTCCCCCGTCAGACAGAATGAGGACTTTCCCTCTTTTTTCCTCTGCTCGCATTTCTCTGGTTTCTGGGTGTTGCAGGGCAGAACCCCTGAATCTCCCCCAAGGGATCCTGGCCCCACCGCTCTGCAGGCAGCCTTTGACCAGCCGCACAAGCACGTGAGGCCCTCAAGCGAAGGGAAGCGGCCCCAGGGCTGCACGCCACGAGTGCCACATTTCAGCTCAGGAGCGCCCTTGCTACTGAGAGTGGCCTCCCCCAACTCTCACTGCCCACAGCCAGCACGGACATGGGCTCAGGGCCCCAGGGACTGGAGAGCAGTGCTGCGGGTCCTTGCAGGAGCCATCAAGCAGGCAGGGTCTCTGGGCACCAGGCGTTGGTTTGGCTTCCCCGCAGCTGCTCCTCCCCGCCAAAGTGCAGCACTCTTGGCTCCAGAGCTGAGAGCTCCCACATCTGCAGAGGGTGGGGGAGTGCCCAGTGGGCACCTGGCTGGTTGTGCCAGGCAGGAGGAGGGGAGAGCCAAGGGGCAGGGTAAGGCTACGTGGGCAAAACACTCATGGGCCCGAGCAGCTGCCAAAAGAGCACAGCGATCTGCCTGGGGTGGGGAGGGGGCACCCCACCTTCACTGGCCAAGAGGAAAACCATGCAGGCTGTGATTGTTAGAGGAAAGGCCTGGCAACACGGGGCCCTGAAGGATTAGACCAAGGGACGCCCCATCCATCAGACGGCTTTCAGCGTTGGCCTTCTGCATCCATCTGACTACTCACAGTCAGTAGATGGAGGGGCAGCTCTGCCCTTGCTTGCTCTCCACTGTCTGAGACGACAGTGGGACCGCCCTGTGACCCAAAAGCCTGGCCCTCTGGGGCTCTTTGGCATGCTGCTCCAGCCCAAGGGGTTGCCAGGGAGAGAGGGAAAAGGCGGGGGATAAGTAAAGTGAAAAGGTACCCATTGCAGAAGCCCCTCATAGTAGAAGGCAGGGGTGCACAACTGCAGCGCGCCAGTTCCAGGCGGCACAAAACAAGGAGGAAAGGAAGCAGAAGAAAGAGAAACCGTGAGCCCAGGCACTCCCCAGGGTGCGGACGGTGCGCACTCGGATGGGGGATCCAAAAGGAGGCCAGATTCCCCCCTTCCCCACCTTCTGGGGCTGGCGACATCTCTGCTAGAAATCTGTCTTTGACCTTTGCTTTGACAAGCCAGCTTGACTAGACTCACATACATCACAATACAAGCACTTAGACTAGAGAGTCTGGGGGAGGGGGCCAAGCGACGTTTGTGCCCCAAGGGCTGAACTTTTAAAAATATGGGTCTGACCAGGGGTGGGGTGTCTCCAGAGCCAATTTCTTTTCATGGTTTGGAGAGCTGAGCTCACTGCACAAAGCTCAGATGAGAAGCCCAGCCCTGCTGTCCAGGATCCCGTCCACCTTGCCAGCAAGCAGTGGGGGTGGGGGGAGAAGGGGAGAGCCCCGTGATACAACGTCACCTTGGCAGACAAAGGCCCTCATCCCAATCTGGGCACCTCCTGGCAGAAAACAGAAGTTGCTGGGGTGTGTCTGTGCCATGGTTATATCCGAGGGGAAGAAGCCCCGTGGAGGCTGGGGCTATAGCTCCCTTCCCACGTGCACACGAGCCACGCCTTTAAAAAGGGAACATGTTGACCCTGATCTTTGTAGGCTATTCAGCCGGTGATGGTTTTGATCTAAGATGTTCCTTAAAGAAAATGCAATCTCTAAAAGGGTTTCTGTGGAGCTGTGCCTCCCCCACCCCTTTTTCAACAGCAAGCACCCCAGGACCAGGGGAGGGACACCCTTCTCACCCAAGGAGCTCACCTCGTCCAGAACAGACGTCATCTCCGTCTGCAGAGTTTTCCCCCGTTTGTCCCACGAGGAGTGGCGCAGAGAACACAGGGCAGGAAAGGCAGAATCCACAGGTATGGAGAGAGCAAACGGTCAGAAATGCCACTTGGGCCATTTTAAAAGCAATGTCATCGTTATAACTTACACGTCGCCTCTAACGTTGAAATCATTAAGTGAATGAATACCCAGAAGGAAGCCACTTCTAAAGCAGGTTTTCTGGTTTACCCTAGCCTGCCACCCAAACAGGATCAAGAGTGGCACTGAAATGTTTTGAAAGCTAAGGGTTAATGCCCTCTAAAAAGACACGTGGGAAGAAGTTGTCCACTGGAAACCACTGCAGTTAACTGGATCTCCATATCTCAAGACCAGTATTTCTCAACCTTGGTAACTTTAAGACATGTGGACTTCAGCTCCCAGAATTCCCCAGCCAGCTATGGCTCTGGGAGCTGAAGTCCACATATTTTTAAGTTGCCAAGGTTGAGGAACACTGCTCCAGAACAATATATAAGGCCATGGAAGAGTCAGTAAAGACTCACTCAAGCTGAGCATGACTCCTCCTGAGACTTGGAGAGGCACCTTCATGTAGTTTTCTCGGCAACAATACAGAAATGGCAGCCATTGTCTTCTCGTAGGTTTTGTTTTTGCTTCTTTTTTTTTACTTCCCAGCCTAGCCTGTAGCTCTGGGACTTCCTAGTGGTTCCTGCTCAAGGACTAACCAGGTCTAACTCTGCTTAGCTTGGTTGAGATCAGCCAAGGTTGGCTAGGAACTGCCACTGCTGTGGTCTGGCTAGACGTCCCAATGACCTGGCATATAGTCAGACTGAGGCAGACCTAAAATTTTGGCAACACAATAAGTCTATCAGGAACCCTCAAAAGCCCATTCTCTCCCCAGTGAAAAAAAGTCCCAGTTCGGAAGAGGAATTTGAGCAAGCGTGTCCCATCCTGCCCAGCTGCACCAAGACCCAGCCTTTGCTTCCCAGTGGGACACATGTGTCCCTCCCATTATGGGCATCCAGAAAGGAGCCAAGGAGACGGGCAGAGAACCAAACGGGTGTTGTGATATCATGATGGAAACTACGCCTTTCGTACATGCATCGCAAAGTCACACGCTTGCATCGTGAGGTCACCATTTTGAGGAAAGCTCTGGGTTCTACAGAGATTGTTGTCTTCAACCACAATCCTGCACAGTTCAATGAGGACCCAAAGCAGAAAATGTGGCTGCTACGGACATGCGACGGTCTTACCTCGAATCCCGGGATGTGATGGACAGCTGGCTGAAAAAAACAAACAGCAAATATCCAAGTCAGGGCCTGACTCTGAAAGGAGCGAGAAAAGTCTGAAACGGCAAGAGAAGTGGGATGGCCCAGGACAAGGCCATCGGCCCATCACAAGCTCTTGGACACTTCAGAGATGCACAAATCCTGCCTCCTCCAAGAAGGATGGCTCAGCACCAACCAAATCACAAATTTAGCTCAGTCCCTTGTATAATTTCACTAGAAAAAGTGCTCTGCGTGAGAACTAGGCATTTGCAAAGAAAATCCCAAGGCAAACGGTTGCAGTTCACAAATAGAGCCCAGACTTTGCACTGCTCAGACGCTTTCAGCCACAGGTTCCCTAACTTGCCATGGGGTAGCACAGTGTTGTTATCTGCCGGGCAATGCAGCCTTGGCTCAGACCTGATTCTGCTGCGCCCCCCGTCCTCCGCTGCTCTGCCCCTGAGATGTCAACCTGGGATCAGCTGCCAGCCATTTCCCTCCAACTTCAAAAGCCGCAGCCAGACACCATGCTGACCCTTGCCAACATCAACCGGGCAGCGGGCCAGCTGGCAAGGTCTGCCTCCTTCTTCCCTCGCAAGGACTCCTAACGGGTCTACCTCGCGGCACGCCCCTTGCCTGCCCAACACAGAGAGAGAGAGAGATTTCCCTCCGCTGCTCACTGGCTCACCGCCAGAGTGAAGACCTGGAACTGGTGGAACGCTGACCGCACCAGCTGGCCTCAGCCCAGCCTCTGGGCTCCAGCCAGACTCAGGCCTGTCCCAAAGGAGGAGAGGAAAGAACCAGAGGGGACAAGGCAGTAGGTACGTGGGCTAAAAATGTCCCTCCCCCCTACCGCCCCCGTCCTTGGGCCTTCCGTCTTTCTGGCAAGTGGGGAAAGAGGAGGTCAGAAGGAGGAATCAAAAAGAATTTGGCCGGGGGTCCTCCTGGGAGGGAATGTGGGCGTTTGATGCCCAACAAATCCTCACCGGGACAAACACTGTCCAGAAAAAATACAAACTCTTGTCCTTCTCCAGAAAACAATCTATGCACATACTTTCTAAACACTATAGGATGACTCCAGCATCTCTTCTACCTTTTTAAACTCTTTGGCTGATCTCCAATAGTTATAGAAGGTTGAGCCTAGTAACCGTTAGTTGGGAGATTGCTGGGAAATCCAGGGTTGTAGACCAGGCTAAGAAATAGGAGGAGGAGGAGGAGGAGGA